TATTTATCTTAAGTATTAGGGAAGAAACAGAGCAATAAGGCTGTGAAGCACTGAAACAGAGAGATTAGGGATGTTGGGAAACAGCCTTCATCAGAAGCCTTGGAGAATAGATGTCGGGGATGGACTAGATAGATCTGTGCGCTTTCTTCATTTGAGGAGGTGAAGCAGATCAGTGGTTCCCAAAATAAGGAACAATGCTCCAGGGATGGTGTAGGTGGAATGAGGCAGAGGGAAATGTGTTGCTGGAGAGTCCCTGAGAACAGAGCAGGAAGTGCAGCCAGGAGGTGGGAGTTTGGTGTGGAAACAGAGTGAGGAATGAATGGGACAGCATCACTGGAGCAAATGAACTCTGTGGCTGTCAAGAACTGCAGAGTCAAGCCATGGCCTCCCAGCCACCTGTTCCCTGTCACATCCCATGAGGAAGACCCCACTGAGAGGTCACAGCCTTCTCTTGCTTCCTGCCTTGCTCCATTCCTCCTCCTGCCTGCTATCTTTCAGTGCTCTGCTGGCCATAGTCTTTTCCCAGATGTATCTCCCTTGTTGGCTCCCCAGCTGCTCCCACCCAGACCTGTCCTGTTAATGAACTGCTGCACAGGAGTACGAGAAATGGAACCAGAAATCCCTGTCAGTTCCATGTTTCTAGAATTATATCTTATGTGACTCACCTTTGTGATTTTTAGGTTTCCTTTTCTTGTGACTTTTTTCTGTAGGTCATGTTTTTCAATTAATCCATTTAGGCCTTTTAACCATTAGAAGTGTTGTAAATCTAAAACGCTCATGCAGTTGGTTTTTTTTATAACAGAACATGGTAAAGAAACAAGTGCCTCAAAGCATCTGTGAGCCTCTGTCCAGGACATCAGTTCAAGACCTTCCTGGTACAGTATTTGCTCTTATTCTGCAAACTTTATACCAATCTGCTGATTTTTACAAAATGTCATTGCTATCAATACTTAAGCTGATTTTGACAGTCAATTACACATCATCTCTGCATTACTATGTCTAAATAATTATATTTTTCCTGCTCATAAATGAATGAATTCACGCTTCCCTCAGTTTTTTTACATATTCCCAGTTTTAGAATTTAATTGCCTTTGATCGTGTAATTACTATTAATTTACAGAAATAAGCCTTTGAGACAGAAACAAATCTGATTAATTAGATGCCAACCCCAAATATAAAACATGTAGATATCGATGTATTTACATAAACTTCTGACATTTTAGTATTTTTCTATTTGCTGTTTTTTGTTCTAGAGGAGGCCTGCTTATTGACAGAGGAGCTGATGTATAATGAGTACAAGATCCTTGAAGAGTAGTGCAACAAAGGAAGAATTTCAGATAAGGTTTTGTTATTAAAATGCTATTATTAAAAAAAGCATCTGTCATTTAAATAAATTGTTTTAAAAGACAAAGAGTCCAAGAATAGAAAGTTTTTACTTTGTGCCCAAAATCTTCCAAAGTGTCAAGATCTTCCTGTTAAGATATTAAACATGAATGGGAATCCAAGATGCTCAATGCCTTGTGAGATCAGGCTCCAAATGTGTCTGGAGAGTTTTCTGTAAATCCCAGATTGAGGTCCCTCTCAGAAAAACTTACTCATAGAGGTACCAGTGATTTTAGCATGTGTGTAATGGTTGGGGTTCAGCTGTAGCTGAAAAAGAATAGATCCAGCCTGGGTGGGACACTATGGTGCAATTTTGATCCAATCCATATCACAGGTTGGACTCAAAAGCACACCCAGGTTTGTTTAAAATCCATCTGCATGCAATCCAGTGCCATGTGCTGAGGGATAACCCTGCCTGGAGGTGGGACCAGATGTAGTCCCTCCCAGCCTGACCCATTCTGTGACTCTGCACTTCACACCATCAGGTAAACAAAAATTCTGCTTAGGTTCTTTCTGGTAAATAATCTGAAGCACAGATCTTGGAGTCTGTGTAAAAAATTGTGTCCGGTTTTGAGCTGATGAAACTCCTGACAGTGGGTTCCCCACATGACCCACTGACATCTGTGGTCTTCACAGTCCTCAGGGAACTCAGAGTCCTCAGAGCCTGCTGCTATTGCTGTTGGCATTAGCAAGAGTTAGAGGACAGAATTTGGAAGTTATCACTTTGCAAAATACAAATAAAACCAGGATTTGGAACCTTTGAATTTTATTTAGAAAATTGGTGATTTATAATTTCATATATTAGAAAACCCCTTCTTTTAAACTAAACAAAGAAAGCTTTATCACTCCCAATAGCCAACCATTCCTTTCTTTCAATGGAGGTTTCCAGACTCAGAGTTTGTAGCAAGGTCCATTAGACCTATAATCAGGTTTTATGATAGTGTTTGAGCAAGCATTAGCTTTTGCCATAGTAATAACTCAAGTCACAGTTTTCTTTAGGATTGTAATCTGAGTATTTGGTTGACATGTGACAATAGGGTTTCTCCCTGTTAAAGAATAGTAAAAATGTATCGTTAACCAGCTCTTATTAGACTATTTTTGATCCAAAATGCTGTATACATGCAAATTAAATACAAATAGCTCAATAATTTTATTCTTTTGTTTATAGGTCTTTATTGTCTGAACACCATGCTTATTATAACAATGTTAATTTAGAAGGCTTTTGCAAGGCTCAAAAGTTGTATAGAAATATTCCCACATGCAGTTATGCACACACATAGGCAACAAATCTCTTTGCTGAGTGTTAAAATTAGGTAAAAAATTTATGGAAACCAGAAAGAGAAATAAGGCTACAAATTAAATATAAACATCTGTATTGTTCATCCCTTAATTTTCCCCCTTATGTTTTAATAGTATTGATATGAAATAAGAAAAACATTCTAAAACCAGCACAATTTTTCAAATTATATCTTAAAATCCTGTTAATCTACAAGCTCTTCTAATCTCTGTAAGTATAACATGACTGCTCATTTTGGATTTTTGGAATTTCTTTTATCAAAATATTGTCAAAAGAAATTACATAATTGAATTTGGCCTTCATAGTAAAAAAAATAAGTACATAACATAAACTACGCCAATATTCTAGAAAAGACAATTATCAATTTATCAAGGGCAAGTTTCTAAATTCTTAATGGCATTTAACCCCATGTCCATTTCTGCAGGAACTGAACATTCTGGTTTTGTGTCTCAAAAGTTTTTGTGCAGTTGTGTTATGATTGTCACTATTTTTTGCCAATCTGTGCTCATTACTACATGATAACTCTGATATGCTTGTGAAAAATGGTCGTGAATTAATCCCCTAGAGCCTTAACTCTCCCATACTTTTTAACACTTTTTCATCATGCAGCTTTTGATAAAAATATGGGGAAATTTATCGTCCTATAGCAATGTGAGTTCTGTTCTTGAAAGTCAGGAAGCTTTGGGAGCAGATTGTGTTTCTTGTGCTAAATATAATTGTCTGCCATCCCAGAAACAGTTTGTCCAATGAGTAACTCTCAGTCTGGCAGAGTGCAGGCTTTGTTCAGCCCCTCGCAGACCTTTTCAGTGGGAAAATGAAGGCTCTTCCCCTTCAAATTACTGGGACCAGGAGGTTAGCAGGATGTTGTTCCCTACGTCATTGTTAGGACAGGATCCTGGAATAAAGCTCTCAGCTGCTGGGAGCAGTCAGAGCTGCACAGGGCACAGCAGCTTGGTGAACACCTCACACACCCCAGCTGACAGCACAGTCAGTGCTCGCTGCACTTGGCTGAAGTTCCACCCAGTGCTGCTGCAGAAGGAAAGTCACCTCTGAATTAGCAGAGCTCTCCCATCATCCCTTCCCTTGGCTGATCTCTCGTCAGACACAGCCCTGCTCGTAAGATCTGTGGGGATCAGAGCTCACATTGGTGTAATGGAGCTTCTGCTTTTTGTCTCTTTGCATGAGAGGTGCTTTAATTCCTTCAAGGAGCTCCTCTTTTGGAGCACAGTTATTCTCTACCCTGACTCCTTCTTTATCCTTGCAATCCTTCCTCCAAGTTTTACCAGAAAGCACCTGATCCCCTGACCCTTAATTTGCAATCAGGAAGGAGGACTCGTGAGAGAATATGGATTCCAGTTAACAACTTTCTCTGTGCTCTCAGAAATCACAGGCAGAGTTGACTTTAGTTAAGAAAGCAGGCAGATCAATTTAGCCTGTAATGCCAGTCTATTTCAAACCAGAGACTGGTCAAACATATTAGACCAGATGAATATCTGAATAGTTCTGAAGTGTAATGTCTGTAAAATCTACATTTTGTGGGCATCTAGGATATGTTAGGTTGGCAATTAAGGTGACTTTTTGAGTAATGACATTTAGTAGGTTTCACTGTGGATGTATCCAATGGTATTGACTAACACTTCGTAGCAGAGAGGAAGGTTGTATCTCAGAAAGGATTCTGTTTATAATTATGAAAAGCATGTTTTCTGACCATTAATAGGGCGTATCTTGTTAATTATGATGATGTATAAGGTATTTCACCTGTGATGCCATTTAGAAAATTAATGTTTGAGTCACAGAAAGGTCATTGCCATTCTGGAAGGAATCCATTCATCTCTAAATAGGCCATCTGAATATAGACTAAGAAATACTCTATATATAATTACCTGGAAATAGATGGAATAAATAAGATTGATGATAGGTATTAATAAAGCCACATGTTAGTTTCCTGCTAGGAAAAAGTAGATTGTAACTGGAAGAAGCAATAATAGACATGTAAAAATGCAAGAAATAGGTTAAAATCTTGAGTAGTTCTATGAGGTGCAGCTATTACTCATGAGGTAAGAACTCAGCCCTCAGAAGTGTTGTGCATCAAGGACTTTATCCTGAGATTCAGGCAGGTATTTCTGAAGACAGCTCCTACAAAGAAGAGAATGAAGACTTTTTTCTTTTTTTTTTTTTTAACAAACCGGAGTCTTGTTTGACTTCATAATACCTCTATATTTGCCACACAAATGCTTACAAGTAGATAGAATGTGTGTGTTGTCTTTGAAGATAAACATGTTCATGGGTATTTCCATGTGTGAGCCCTCTTTTAACACAGGCCTGGAGTCTCCAGGAGCTGAGGAGGATCCTGGGGGGGACAAGTCTCAAGTGGTGCCAGCAGCTGCTCATCCTCCAGCTCAGTTCTGCAACTTGGTCTCCTGCAGCATAGGAGATGTGGGACAGAAAACCAACATCCAGCAGATTTTCAGTAGCACATGGGTGAGCCAGAGACTAGGAACTGGAGCATCCTAAGAGGAGTGTCTGGGAGTGGCAGTAGCTCCTGACTCCTACTCAGCTCCAAGCCCAGCTGGGATTGAGTTCTCCTACCCCTGACAGACAGATGAGAGGCAGCCCTTGTTCGTGGGAGGCAGCTTTTGTAACTGCACATCCAGCCCCTCATTTGGGACATACTTATCCATACACAGAGGTAAATCAGCTTGGAAAGGCTGCTGCCTCCTGCACTGAGCTGTTCTATCCCTGGCAACATTGCTCCTGGTCTTCCTGGACTGTCAGAAAACATTGTCCCAACTGGCCACAAGTTCACAGTTTACAATTGTAGTGACTTAAATCTGGACTTAACTATAGCAATGCCTTTAAAAACATCTTCAAAGAGCCCTCCCTGAAGCCCAGTGGTCACTGTTATTTTGCTGTTTGCTTTCATAAGAGCTGTCTGCCTCCCGGCTCCTCGGTGTCACTTGGCTGAGGAAATTAGACACTCTCTTTCCACACAAGTACCAGGAGAAAATGTTTCCTTGGCACTGATAGCTGCTTGCAGTACAGATTAAACCAAAATTTATTTATTATAAGGGAAGTTCAGGATTATCTGCTTTCCACCTCCTGGTTGCTTCTCCCTCACAGCAACCCCTTTAACATTCGGAATTGCAATGAGAAATCACATCTGCTGAGCCTTGATACTCTCAGAGGAGCTCTGTGATCTTAGAATATTTTGATGAATTAGGGCTTTGCTTTTACTTTGCTTCTACAAACCTCTGTTCTTGGAGGGAAACATCACCAACACACTCAGGTTCTGCACTGCTTTTGGCAGAAACATGAACACCTGCTCAAGACTTACACACACACACACCAAACCACCTTGGAGCAGGTGATGTTTAATCAGTGTCCCTGGATGGGGCCACTCATACAAGTCATGTTCTAAGGTTTTTATCTCCTTCTTCCTGACTAGAAAATTCAGGATAGTGGGACCTGCCTAGAAAATAACTTTCTGAAACTATCTCTGCCACAAAACTTCATAGTCTATACAAAGTAAATAAAAAACAATCTGTAAAGGTGAGGAAAGTAAAATTAAAAAACTAAACTAATATATTTGCAAGAAGTATGTTTGTCTCAGTCACCTTCTCTGTTTCTCCCAGATCCCATGTCCCACTGTAGGGAGCTGGAGTATTTCCATCACTGAGACAATGCACTTTCCCTTGAAAGCTGCTGGGTTTAATCTCACCATCAGATGCTGGGATTCATTTCTGTGGTCCCTGTTGTACATTTCTTAATATCAGACAAGAGTGAAATATCTTCAGGACTGTGAGACTGAAGTTAACTATTTTTTCAAAGGAAAAAGGTGCTGGAAATATATAGTGGTCTTCATCAGCTAAAAGACTCTGTGGAACCAAACCCAGGCTCATGAGCCTGCTGTGATGTTGACCACATGAGCCAGGAAGAGGCTTTTGCACCTCTAAAATAGAGTGAGCTTGGTTCAGTCTAATCTCAGGCGTAAGTCAGAGATGTGTTCAAGGAAGACAAGAGAAAGCTCTTCCACTTTTTCCTCTGATTTCTGATCCTTTGAAGACCATTCCAGGTGTGTGCTAAAGCTCCTTCCTGTGACAGCTCTCCTGTAACAGAAGGACAGGTCAGCTCTTGACTTCTGAAGCAAAGGCTTCAGCGTCTTCACAGATGTTGCAAGCTGAAGTAAAAGCCTGCATGTGGCAGCTCTGAATTATGGGTCACCATACCTTTCCTGATCTCTCTACTGGGGCCTTTTGAATTTCTACCTAGAAATCATCTTCAGCACCATTGAAGTGCAGGTGTTGGTAACAGCACTATGAGCTGAAAAGGTTTATTTCATCGTTTGATGTGGTCCTGCCATCTTTAGCTGGTTTTTTTGCCTCCCTGCATGATGATCACTCATCTGGGTAAGTACTTTCCATGTTTTGTCTGGTTTGCCATGGCCAGTCCTTGGTTAGGAGCTTGATCCTATTTTCTTACCATTTTCCACATACTGCATTGCATCATTAAAAAGAAATAAATCTTTTTTCAGGTAGGTGGATATACATAGCAGAACTAAGTCACAATCTCACCCCCCAGCTAGAAGGCTTTCTGTTGACACACAAATACAAATTACAGTAAATTATCTGATCTTTTTGAGCCTACTGTATCCTTTCCCCATTTGCTCTTTCTTCCACACTTCTTTCCGACCTTAGACCCATTTTTTCCCTTCTTCATCTTCACTCAGTCTCCCCTCTGTCCCCACAGTTCCAATGCTTCACAGCCTTCCTTCATTTTATCCTTGCTGCTGAATGAAGATGTGATACAGATGAGAAGTAAAAATGAGGAGCTCTTTCAAATTAAGCTTTGCTGCAAACATCTTAGCTGTAAAAAGTCCATTACATCCTCAAGAGAAACAAAGGTACTTAACCTGGAATGTCAGTGATCTCTGGACACCAGCCTGCTGCTGAATGCCTTCCAAACTCTGCCATTCCACAACTTGATTGGACCTCCCACAAGTTCCCCTTCAGGCCTGGCTGTGAACTGTGCAGTCCTGTGTACTGGAACAACCCCAAGTGGCAGTGCTTTTACCCAGGATCATCCACGACTGCTTCCCCATTAATTCCCTCTGTCTGGAAGCACCCTGATGTCTCCTTAATAGGGCTTAGCATTATTTATGGCAATTTACAGGTGTGCTGCTAAAGGATGGAACTGTAAATCACTTCAGATGTTGTTCCATGATGAAGTGCCTCTACATTATTTAACAAATTGTCCCAACATGACTGAACGACACACAATGAAAAAACTTGCCACAGAAATGTAATATTGAAATCAACACAAAAATATTGTGTATTAAGTTAAGATTTGTAATTGCAACTTTTATTCTTCTGGCAGTTTTGTACTCCTGGAGGATTTTCAGCTTCAGAAAAGTGGGGTGCTTATAACCAGGGGATGTCAGCAGGGCAATACAATGACTTTTGTATGTGACAGCATCGTGCAGCTGGCTTTGCAGAGGTGTTTGGCAGAAAAAACACCAGGCTGCACGTGTGCATCTTAGTTACAGCTCACTGCCTAGGGTGTAAGGTAGCAAGCAATGTTGTTTTACAGTATCTGAGTGATTCTGCCGCAGTAGAAAGAAGACTGAGGAATGATGAAATGCCAGCCAAAAGTGCCTACAGGTACCTCAAAATAAAGAACTACACGTGTTCTGAGATGTTGGTTTATCGTATTTGCCCGTAATCTGAGCACAGTGCTTTCCCAGATCAAGGCAAGGCAGGCAATTTTGAAGTGAGAGGAAAGGTGGAACAACATCTTCTTCCTAGAAAGCCTGGATTGAAAATGAACCACATTCACTGTTATATTTCTCCTATGATTGCAGGTGGTTTTCCTCCTTCGGATATAAGGTACCATTATGTGAGAAAAGCTTCTTATTTTTCTCTATTCAGTCAGGGATAGTTCAAAGATTGTCATGCCTAAAATATGCACATGGGTGAGGTCTCACTGAGATCTGACACAAAACCCAAGGAAGCAGCCCAACCACCTGGTGATTTCCTCTGGGCAGGAGGGAAAGAAGACGACTTGGTTCACAAACACCCATAGGGCAAAGAAGGGAAGTGATCTGGAGGGGTGAAGGGAGAGCTGGTGCCAGCACTGCCCAGGGATTCAGTTTGGAGGTGTATGAGTCAAAGAGTCTTTTCCAAGTTGAGAAATTAACAGCCCCAGCCATTTCTCTGTTGTTTTTCAAGGAGTAATTTTTAATTTTTTTAATTTAACCTTTTGGGTTTTCTCAGTTAAATTTTTAACATCTCAGGGCTTTCTTGATGTGAAGCCCAACACCTTCTGAAACTGTTGTTGAGGATGTTTAAAATGTTCATGCAGAAACGAGTTGTCCTGCTTCCGTGTGGGTAACAGGGCTGTTTGTGCTCACAGGTGTCCATGGATAGGAGGAGCCACGTAATAAATGCCAGCCTCAGCCATGAGAGCTGCATTCAGGCTGCTGCTGCACTGGGAGGATGAGGATTGCTGGAACAGAAGCTGTCTGGGAGGCAGGGAAGGGTGAAGGAGGTGCCCCAAGTGCTGAAATGTCCACATGAGCAGCATCTCTTCCTCAGGTGGCTCAGTCATGGACGGGACCTGGCTTCCTGGTTCCCCCTTCCCTTCCTGGGGGAACCACACTCCAGTGACTGTCCCTGTCTGTTTGTGCCTCTGTTTGGCCCTCCCCAGCCTCAAACCAGTTTTTAAAGTGGTTTAAGCCCCTTCAGGCCAATGGGACAGACAGGGAAGTGGTTTAGGTGTGGATGTATCCCCACAGGTTTGTGCAGCAGAGTGGACAACAGAGATGACAGACCCCATGTGTGTCCCATGCAAGGGAAAAGGCAGAAAATCACATGTACTGAAATCCCCAGGCAAGAGGATTTATTAATGCTCCATCCTCTGATGTCAGCCAGAGTTTGTGCCTTATTTGACACCAGTGAACCCAACAAAAAGGCCCAAATTCAGGGAAGTCAGCTTTCACCTCCCCTCTGCAGTACATCTGAGACTGAGCCTTAAAAAAACTGCTGTGCTTCTTATGGAAATGGGTATTTCATGGAGTATCTCATACTGCCAGCGCCCTGGGAGTGAGAGATTGAAGGGGAGTACTGGTTCAGTGTTTTGGAGGTGTTGTCAGATGAGGCAGGGTTGGTCCTAAGAGCCCTCTTAGGACTTGAGAAACCTCTTTCCATTTCCTCATCCATCCTGAACTTGTCTGTATTCCTCTGCTGTAAGGTTGGATAGCACACATCCCTACTTCCTGGGAATGTTGTGGAGATCAGTATGCTGCTATCAGGGAGGGGTAAAAGCACTGACTTGCCACAACGACCCTGAAAGAATTGTAAAACTCTAGAAAAGTGCATCCTTATAAAACTAAAACACAATCCATTGGAATGCAGCATTAAATACACTGTCACTCGCCACCAGCCTGGTTTTTCCTTTTCCTGCATGAGCTCTTCCACACTTTGCCACTGGTCCTACCATTGGAGCCTGTGACATGTATA